TTATTTCAAACCAGATATGTTCTTTCTGTATCTGCTTTGGGTTTTCCTGCTGGTTATCTTTCACATTTAATTCATGAGGTAAGTATATGCAAAGGTTTTTGAGGAGACACATATGATTCACTTTTGTTGCTTACCCATCCAAGAAGAACAAGTAGTTTTGTTTGTCTTCATTAAAAGAACATGATTGTCATAATACAAGTCAATTTTTAGTCTCACAAAAGTGTGTTCTTAGAGCTAATAAATTTCAAATTGCACTTCGTGTGCAGGCCAGAAGATCTGCGGGGACCTTTTGGCCAATTTGGTTGCCTCAAGGACATCTACCTGCCTCGAGATTATTATACTGGGTGAGTATAATCCTTGTTGATTCCTGAAATGGTAACTCAGTCTGTGTGTGTCTGATGATGCCAACTTGTCTGTCTTCATCCTGTCTCACATGAGATTTTGGGTGATGGGGTTGTTTCTTCATGATTTACATTGGTTTATGGGAATTTGGTTGTTTTTATTGAAAGTGTTGAAGACACCAATGAAGTAATAAAGTACTGTGTTGAAGACACCAATGAAGTATAAGAGTACTCTGTTGAAGACACTTTCAAGTAATGAGTACTGTTCAAGATGACCTTAATTTACATCAAGGTTGGAAGGAAGTTGGTTTTGAATTGATTGTGAAGAAGTGCAAGTCTTGAAGATTATCAACTGAATTTAAATTTGGCTCCCACAAGGTTAGCAGCCACATAATCATATTTACTTGAATTGTATGAAGCATCAGCTTGATGTCATGATCTTTCATGTTGCTCTGGAGTCAAGATCATGTTTGTGATTTTGAAAATCAGTGAGCATGTGTGGCTTATGAAGTATAATCTGCTACCTATTGTATTTATCCCATGTTTATGAGAGCTACCTTGTTTGTGATGTAGGGAACCACGTGGTTTTGGATTTGTCCAGTATCTGGATCCTGCTGATGCTGCTGATGCAAAATATCATATGGATGGTTATGTTCTTCTTGGCCGAGAACTTACTGTTGTTTTTGCTGAGGAAAATAGGAAGAAGCCTTCAGAAATGAGGACAAGAGATCGTGTAAGGTAAGCATAGGTTCTTTTGCAATGCTTATATACATTGCTATTTTTTTTTTCAAAATTAGCTCCTGTTCTTAATTGGTGTTCTCATTTTGTTAGGCATAAAGGGACTTAGGAAGACAGGACACCTGTATTTGTTAAGGATTTCCAGTTAGAGAAAAAATATAGTTAATTGAACAATAGTAATGTTAATTACATGTGTTAACATGTTCATGATATTAATGACAGGGGTCGGGCATATAGGCGTTCACCAGTTCGTTATTCTCGGTCACCACGATATGCTCAAAGTTACTCCCGGGGTCCAGACTATTATTCTCCTTCTCCTAGGCGAAGACGTTACTCAAGGTAAACTGTTTAATATTTCTGTAGTCTTAATCATTTATGTTTTGTGATTAGTCTTGTTAATGTTGCCTACTGTTTTTGTATAGATCAATTTCACCCAGACATAGGAGATATAGAGGGCGATCTTGCTCGAGGTCACCCTATCACTCAAGGAGTCCAAGCCGGAGCTTTAATAGGAGCAGGAGCCAAAGTCTGGACTATTCTACATGACTGATTTGAAGGTGTCTGGGTTAGTATGTGTCAAGAGATATATCTCTATACTAGTTGTCTGGATAAATAGTTTGATTTTGCTTCAGCATGTATGACTGGTTAAAAAGTTGATTATATAGTTTATAGTGCTCATTGTGGTCGTAGTAATAATGTTTAACACAGACATGCTATTTTGAATCTTCTATGTTGACAATGATTGTCATCCTTAAATGATCTTTTTTAAATTTTTTCGTTTACCAGTGTCGTCGTTTCTTGCACAGGCTATTAGATGCTTGTTTGTGTTGGAATCAATATGTTGATATACAGTTGATCTTTTTGATTGTTCTTTGTTATTGATTTTGTCACCACATTCAAGCATTTGCAAAAGACTGTCACGTGCTGGTTGGGTTAGGGAGTTAAGAATAGGATAGGCCTTTTCCCATAACGTCTATGGATTGGCTTCCTTCCTTTGTTGATATCGAAAATCAGCTGCATTGTTTCTGTTCTTTCATCATTTTTTCATGCCTTGTTTGAAATATTTAGTTTCACATTGGATTAGCAACTGGATCCTCACCAGTGCAGCTATTTGACTGGGTGAAGTCCACTGATTTTTTGGTTCATCAAATCGAAAACCAGAAGGGAGAAAAGGGAAAAACATCTGCAAACAAAAGTATGGGTTATACTGTACCAACTTCTGCAGACAAAATATGGGTGATAAGGTACATTATATTACAAAATCTATTTATACAGATATACTCATGTTGATGCTTGCTAGATTTTATACACACACTCAACATTAATGCAGTGATGATAACATATGTTAATGTTATCCATCCAAATCTTAATATGTCTACATCATCATCATGGGACCGTGAGCTTTGGCTCACCCGTCTTTACTAGTCACACCCAACTTGGATGTGGGAGTCTCTGCCATCAGGGGACTGAACGCCGTACTGCATACGCAGAGGCGTCTCTGTCCCAAATTCCCAATTTGATTAGAACGGGGATGGTGTAAACCAGAGTGACTTACACTTTAAGATGTAGGTTTAGATTTGCTGATTTAGATATCCACGCAACATCCAGACTGTACAAACCCAGAGAACTCGGCCGGAACATCAAGACTCTTGAACTGCCCACTCTGACCATCCACCAAAAAGAACCCTTGTGGACCACCCTGGTAAGCTGATCCAGACACAAACGTCGATTCACCCAAGGGGACTGCACATACTCCAACTCGTATCGCCGAATCACGGTCGGCCCAGCAGAAAAATTTCTTCTCTTTCTCAACTCCCACGCAAGACCTGGGACATTGACTAGCCTTCCATGCCTCGTCAACTCGCCTCCATTGACCCGTCCCCAAATCCATCAGCTCAGCGCTCCCCTCGAATCCTCCTTGATTGTCCGTTCTGTATCCGCTCACCACCCAG